AGTTAATGACATACATACAGATTACACATGTGTCGGTTGATGATGTACATACAGATTACACGTGTCAGTTGATGATGTACATACAGATTACACATGTGTCGGTTGATGACATACATACAGATTACACATGTGTCGGTTGATGACGTACATACAGATTACACATGTGTCGGTTGATGATGTACATACAGATTACACATGTGTCAGTTGATGATGTACATAATGATTACACATGTGTCGGTTAATGACGTATATACAGATTGCACATGTGTCGGTTAATGACATACATACATGTACAGATTACACATGTGTCGGTTAATGACGTACATACAGATTACACATGTGTTGGTTATTGATGTACATACAGATTACACATGTGTCGGTTGATGACATACTTACAGATTACACATGTGTCAGTTGATGACATACATACAGATTACACATGTGTCAGTTGATGATGTACATACAGATTACACATGTGTCAGTTGATGATGTACATACAGATTACACATGTGTCAGTTGATGTACATACAGATTACAAATGTGTCAGTTGATGATGTACATACAGATTACACATGTGTCAGTTGATGACTTATGTACAAATTACACATGTGTCAGTTGATGATGTACTTACAGATTACACATGTGTCAGTCAAGGACTTATGTACAGATTACATGTGTGTCAGTTGATGACTTAAAATCTCAAATTTAGATGAATATGTCTGTCCATTTTAAAGTAATATTTTCAACTTGATATGTGTGTTGCTCACAGCGAAGCTACATGTATCTCAGCTGAGAGGCTGCTTGTTCATTAGTTCAAATGGGATACATGTTTAACACTGAGCTGCAATTATGTCAGCTACTAGCATGCATGACTACTGTGTTAGCTCTTAACGCAATCTCTTATCTTATCCAGATTGAGAAATCTTTGGTATACAAACCCAGTAGTAAAACTAACATGACTGAACTGTTGATGAAAACCAACGATGTTCACTCAAGAGTTTTTCTCTTGTATGCAAAGTAAGTGTTTGTCTGCTGATAAAATTTTCCAGAAACCCTCAAAGTGTGAGGTTATAAAGGGCTAGACACTAAGGGTAGTCCTATATAGCCCCAGTGTAAAGTAAAATTGCCATTATGCCAACTGAATAGTAACTTTAATACTTGCCTTAAAGGGGAACTGATACTATAAATAGGGGCAAGATGGCCACCGCAATTAGTATGCTAATCTGAACCAAGCCGCTCACATCGTGGCGGGAGCTCTGGGAAATGTACCATTTATGATGTTTAGAGATCAAGCTGTGGTTCCAAATACATATCCACGGGGGCATGAATATGTATGCTAGCGATTACACTCGTCTGGTTGGACTTTTGATGTATAAATGCTGTTGTTTTCGGTCAAAACGTGCGGCGACAAGTACAAATTATGAGTTTAAAATGGCGGCTAATGTATGCAAAATGCCTGTCAATCACAGTTTGAGTAAGCGAGCATAATAAGCATTCATTTACTTATGGGACAGAGGCATGAGCACGTGGTGCAATCCATGGAATTGAGCGGTTCCCCTTTAACAGATTACAATAATTATTGTAAATACATGTATATAGGCAACATAATTTCAGAGAAGCAAGTTTTAATGTTAACAACAAGCTATACTTCTGAGTATTATTTTAACATTTAGCAGTTTAGCCTTTTCACCACCAGTTCTTTCTTTTCATCACAAATTCACATAATGTCTGTACTTTCCTTCCAACAATTAGGACAAAAATAGCTAAATTTTTTAAGTCAAAACTGAAAATTGACTCAAATTTTGGCTGTTGGCTCCAAAATTAGGGTTCATTTCCAAAAATATTAATTTAAAAAGAGTATAAGAAAAAAAGTGCAAAAAAATTTGGGCAAGAAAGTCTGGTGGTGAAAAGTCCAATGGATATTTGAGCTTCGTGTGTGTATGTGTGGTGATGATGATTCAGTATCATCTGTTGATAGTACTGTATTTATTCCTTAAAATATACTTTGTTTTTTGAATTCCCTGTTGTCCATAACATATTTAGTGTTAATGTGCTAAACTTCTGCATGACAGCTGATTTAAGATACTTCTATTAATCAAAGATACGATTCCAATTTGACAAATACATGTTTGTAGTATGTTTGTTCCTCATGTACATGTTCACTTTACACAGAAATTGTTTTTGACACAATAGAAGTCTTTGCAGTTAGTGTGTGTGTGTGTGTGTATGTGGGTGTGTTCTTGATATCTCAAGAACCATACATTGGTTTTTGATGAAACTTGGTGTATAGATGCTCTGGGCCAATGCGCTGATTTGATTAGGTTTTGGTAAAAAATTTTGCAACCTAATTTACATAATGATTAGTAATTTTTTTGCTTTTTCCACTAATATCTCCAGTACTAATCATCATATTTTAATGAAACTTGGTACATAGATCCTCCAGTACAAAATGTATATGCAAAGTACTGATTAGTTTTGGGGTAAATAATTGTGCATATTAATTACCTAATTTGCATAATTAGTGATTTTCAGCTTTCCCATTGATATCTCGAATACTAATCATCACATTTCAATGAATCTAGTCCTATGCAGAGACCCAATTAGTTTTCAGTAAATATGTATGCATATTAATCAACTAAATTGCATAATTAACCAATTTTAAACCTTCACACTGATATCTCAAGTACTAATCATCACATTCCAATGAAACTTGGTACATAGATGCTCTAGGACAATAGACAGACCTGATTAGTTTTCGGTTAAAATCAGTTCATATTAATGCCATAATTAGTATAATAATTCATAATTTGTTGGTTCTAAACACATTTCAATGAAACTTGGTACAAAGATGGTCTGTTACATTGTGCAGACCTTATTAGTTTTACCCTCAAATCTGTTCATATTAATTACCTGATTTGCATATTGGTTTTCAGCTTTTCCATCAATATTTCAAGTAAAAGTAATTTTTAATTAATTTGTAATGTGTCTCCAGTACTCTCTGCACACAGGAGTTCTCTTTAAGCTTTCTTTCATCTTACTTGGTTTCATGAACGTCAAAATTACATCAGAATGATTTCAATTTGTTTTATTGTTACAATTCTTTATGGGATATATATTTATTCACTAATCATATAATATATACATTTTTCAGTGAGGAGGATGCATGTAGTGCATACGCTGCAGCAAAGAAACTTAATATGACCGACTCTGGGAACGTATGGCTTGTACCTGAACAAGCAATCTCAGGAAAAGCACTAAAAGAAGCACCAACAGGTAAGGGGGCTATGGATGATTAAAAACCATGAATAGCAATTACATTTTTATTTAACACTCAACCCCCTTTTGTTTCCCTGAACAAAGGTGGGAAAAAAATATTAACAAACATTAATTTTAGCAAACAATAATTGAAATTTCTCCTCTGCCCCTAAATGAAGAGATTACATTTGTAGCATGCATGTTTTGATCATCATCATCCCCTTATATATCTGATTTTAAATCTATGTTGCTAGCCAAACAAATTTAGAGACATATGGAATGTAGACCCTGGTGTTAAATAGTCTAGAATTTTCTACTGGCCAGTATTGTAGTTGATTAGATGCACTTATCTGCAGATAAATAGCCTTTAAAGTAAGTGGCATATTTTCTTAATCAAAGTCAGATTTCGTAGCAAATTGAGGGAAATGTATCACAGAAATAACAACCAGACCTGACTTCAACTGTTAATACAAACATTCACTATTAAATAGTGAGATGTTAATTTGTTGGTTGTCAGTTCAATTCCCAACCAATGTTTTCATAATGTTCTACCATTAAATCAGTATTAATGTTGAGTTCGGAAATTTTTTTGTCATCAGCTGTAATTTTGCTGGCATTGTAACATGTCCTAACATTGGAACTGTCTTTGTATTTCCCTTGGTGATGTTCCATGGGATAAATGGGATAAATCAGCTACTGCTTTCAGTTGATGTTTTTAAATAGACTTGAGAACATTATCATTTGTCACAAAAATGAAGGGAACAGACTCTGGAATACATATTTGGTTCCAAACTTCCTATCTACGTTGTAGCTTTGAAATCTATTGCAGCCCGAGCTGGCTTCTTTCTAATGGAAATAATACATTCTTCATAAGCTTTTTAATGGTATTTTTCTTG